GGGTTTCAACACTGTGTTCGGTAATTTTTCCCGATGTATTTTGTTTGTGTAAAATTATTTTATTATCGCTTTACCGAATTGTCGTGGTGAGAAGCTTCTGCTTAACTGTTCGAAATCCGACTTATACATAGTTTACCAGACTAGCAGAAGTAAGCTGAAAAGGACCAGCCAGCAGTTATCCAAAACTACCGAAAGGGTGTGAAGACCCCTAATGATATGGATAACATTTATGTTAAATCTACACTGTAGATATAAAAACTACATACGCACGTATCAGAATCTATGCGTATGTTAACTTACAAATACAAATGTACGTTATGGAAGTGTACATATTAGAGGGCTGCATGAATTTATCCAAAACGGCTTATGAATTATTCATATCCAAAACGAATGAATGATTTGATTTTGAGTGAATAGCTGTTGCGATATATGTGTTTAGCTTACAATATTCAAACAAATTGAAAATAAATTGAATTGAAATAAATGACAATTTTTTGTATGAATATTCAAAAATATTTTTTCTATGTACATATCTCAAACATACATATGTATGTACATATGTATGTATGTATGTATTGCTGCGCTCTTATTACAATACGAACAAACTTGTTTGTAGAAAAAAACTTTTACCGAATTGAGTTTGAATGATTTGAATGTTTTTCATTCATTCATTAACATTCTTCCATTTGACGGTAGAAATTTAAAACAAACTGTATATTCATAGCTTACAAACTTCCAAGCGCTGAGTGTTTTGTATTTGAAGTAAAATATTCAAATCGACTGTACTCTGGTTGGCTGGAAGTTTGAATGAATTCATGCAGCCCTCTAGTACATACATATGCATGTATATATAACAATTTGTGGGAAAATTTCCTTAATTTTCCATTTGCTCTGCCTTTGACTTTAATTTTTGTTTGGTCGATATAAAAATTCTAGAAACACTTATTCATTTAAAATCTTAGCAACGTTCGAAATATTGATTTTTTTGCTATGTACTAGGTACATCCATAACTGAGAAATCTTACGAAGAACGGGGTTGGGTAAATTCCACTAAATCGAAATTGTCAATGCCACTAGGGCTTTAGTGGTAGTGCATTTCAAATTTCCATTATATGTATGTTTAGTGAAAAAGAAACACAAAGCCTCGGATGGCTTAGGACCAGTGTTGCCATTTTAGCCCTTTGGTGGCTAAATTTGGCTACCAAATTCTTTTTTTGGCCACAAAAATTTTAAATTGCCCCTAGCCCTTTTTTTAGCCCTTTTCAAAATTTATTCATCATTGACATTAAAATTTTTTATATGATTTTCATGAATTTAACTCTTCGCTTATAAAGCGAACGCCTTTCCTTTAAGGCAAATAAACTGTTCATTGTGTCGCTAGCTTAAGTGGTGGAAAAAGTTTGTTTATCGGTTGCTTCTTTTACCTTTAAGTAACGCAGAAGTTGAAAGGACGTTTTCTATACTAAATTTCGTTAAAAATAAGCACAGAAATAAAATGAATTTTGCAATGTTAAACGCTTTATTAACTGTAAGATATGGCTTAAAAAATGTACAGAAATGTTGTCATGATTTTGAAATTACAGATGATATCGTCAGGTTAATGAGAAATGAACAAAATTGTAACGACGAAGAATCGCTTAGCGATGATAGTATTGATATAGATATTTAATGTGTTAAAAAAAAATTTTATAGATTAAATTATTTTACTATGAGTTCATTAAATGAATACTCTTTTGTTTGTTTGATACATACAGCGTCGGACAATAATAAAGCACCGACATTTTAATTCTTTGTAAATTATAACATAACATTTTAAAAATTTCTTTTACAAATGGATATTTTTCGAAGCATAGTTTGAAATTATGTAAGTTATTTAGTATTTTCCGACACTGTATATAGATATGATTCTAGTACTTATGTATTCTTAATGTGATCTAATTTTTTTGTTTATGTAAGAAATTAATTAATTAATAACATATGTATATGTATGTTTTTTACGTTTCTGGGCCGTTATATTATCCATTAACGATTTAACTATACTTTAAAATAGGTAAGTTGGCGGCCCTTAATATGCTTTATGTGTTACACAACAAGTTTTTTTGTTGAATAAAATATTAATTCTTTCCAGAGTTCATTGTTTTTCTATATTATTACTTATAGAAAATGTTTGCGTGTATACTTATATATTTATATGTAGGTAAAAAAATTTAGCTACCATTTTTAGCCACAACGACGATTTTTAGCTCTTTTTTAGCCCTTTTTTAGCCTGAATTTAGCTACCGCTAAAAATGTTTCGCGGCAACACTGCTTAGGACTACGATTTGAGGGCATGCACCTGGAATGTTCGGACACTTAATGCGGAAGGTGCGTTGGACGGGGCAAGGCAAGCAATGTCGGGGGCCTTGCGACGTCTACTATAGCTGCCATGTAAAGGATCGCAAATTCGGTGTTGGATTTGTGGTGGGAGAGAGACTTCGTCGCTGAATACTGTCGTTCATCCCGGTGGACGAGCGTCTAGCCGGGTTCGAAGAAATAATCGGATTTTAGCGGGCCCGAAAGGCCAATTGGTACGATGAGCAGTGTCAAGACGCTGCAGAGAAAAAAAGATGCCGTTTACAGGGCCACGTAGCGATCGTGCGCAACGCGAGCTATGTGGGACCGCTATAGGGAACTGAAGAGGGAACCGAACGTATTTGCCGCAATAAGAAGAGTGATACCGAAATACGTGAGCGCAAAGAGCTTGAATGCTGGCCGACTGAAAGAGAGCAGTGTTGGCAGTTATCGATTGATTTTTTAATCGATTAGTTAATTCGATTAAATTCAATTCGGGTACAGTTGATCATGATTAATTTTAATGTGATTAAACAGCTAATCGTGACCGCAACTCAAAAAATTAGTTTTTAGTCATTAACCCTTAATTTGATTAAGTAGGTTTGGTGATTAATTAATTTATGCTAGAATTTTCCTGTGCACACAAAGCCAGTTAATCGGGTATGACTAAGTCGAGTTTCCTCATCAATCTAAGCAATTAGGCGATCTAGGGATGGATGTCCAGAACGTACTTAGATTATGGAGGGAACACTCTTCTACTCCACTTAATGGTAGCACCACGGAGAATACGAGCCCGAACCCACAGTCGATGATGACGGGGCTTTAGACCTGGCAAATCCGCCATAGACCAGGTATTCACAATACGCCTAATATTGGAAAAGACCCGCTTTCGACAGCATGAAAATAAGTTGTCTTTATTCCGCGATGCCCCGCGAAACTACTACAGCTGTGTAAAATGACGTTGAGCAATACCACCAGCTCCATCAGAATTGAGAAGTGCCTCTCCGAGCCGTTTGATACCACACGGGGTTTCAGACAAGGTAACTCCCTTTCGTGTGATTTCTTTAATCTGATGCTGGAGAAGATAATAAGAGATGACTTCGACATCATCGGTAACAAAAACCCTCTGGTGGTAAATGAGGACAAGACGAAATATCATCTCCTGTCATCAAACAAACAGTTAGCGCATTCGCGCCTTGGACCCCACGGCCACTGTTGACAGTTATTATTTCGTGAAAGTAGATAATTTCGTTTATTTGGGAACCAGCATTAACACCGATAATAATGTCGAAATCCAACGCAGAATCACTCTAGCCAACAAGTGATACTTTGGACTGAGTAGACAATTCAAGAGTAAAGTTCTCTCTATAAGTCACTAATCATGTCGATCACGGACAAACCAAATAGCAAATGTACATATGTCGACAAAACATATTTTACCGTCAGAGATAAAATCAAATATTGCAAAAAACGCGATTGATACTTTGACCACGTTTTCCTCAAAATCTAAAGCTGATACTTACAGATTCGTAATCTGCATAAAAAAGTCTATGAAAAACAACTTTAAGATTTTAGGAAACAAACTTTTTTCGCATTTTTGTTGGCCGGTGTTAAATATTTTATCCATATTCACAACCTTTTAAATGTTTCTGTTTTCAGCAATAAAACTCATTGCTCTGAGGAAATAACTTTTTCTTCATTTTGTTTTGATGTTTGTCGGAAATGGGGCTCGTCATAGGCCCTGTGGAATGGTAGTGCGCACTTCTAACAGCTACACCACAGCGGCCGCCAAATTACAATAACACATTTGTATATTTTGTATTTATGTAATTATTTTGAAATTTTGTAAAATTTGCTCTACATTGCCTACAATTTATTTATCCTCGCTGAATTTTAACATTTCTTTTTTCACTTTTCCAAATATTATCGATGTATGTTTTTTATTGGATTAGATGATTTTTCCCCACACAAGCACATTCACTTTCTAGTAAGATTTATTTTAACACGATGCAGTCCGCAATACGGTGTAACGATCAAACTTTAGAAGCGAGTAGAGAACGAAACACAAATGTTTCAAATCAGTCGAAAAGTGTGTCGAAGTGTATGATAAAAACATTATATCTTTTTTTCATTTCTAAAACGTTTTTTTTTTTTTGAGTTATTTTTTTGAAAATTTTGGGACTAATTTACAAGCATATTTACATTTATATTTATGTCTGTACATATGTACATGTACGTGCATGCAAATTTGTAGCACACTTGTATATACGTATGCACTTCGTTTAAGGTTTTTATGCGAATCTTTGGGTCACTCTTAATTAGTTTTTCAATTTCATACTTTCTTTTAAGAAATTAATTATTCCGCTCGCTGCAGGTTGCTGGGTCGCTTGTAGCCTCCCTCCTCTGTAGCTCGCCGTGTTGGCCATGAAAGCGCTACCACCCACGCCGCTGACGGCAGATGGTCAAGTCGTTAGTACGCCGTAACTAAATAGTGCTCAGTTGGCCGCATTTCGCTTTTCTTACCTGTGCACTATCTACAGTTATTTAGTAACTGGACGAATATACGAATATATGTATGTATTTCTACCTTTGTATGTATGTATGCTTTATATAAGTATTTAAATACATATGTACATATATGTATCTGTGTATTAGATAATTGTATTTACTTGTGTGGGTGAAAACTTATTCACAAATTTTTAATGTAATTAAAAATCAAGGAGCACAAAATTGTGTCCTTCACCGCGCTGCGTCGCCATCGCGAACAAAAACATTTACACTATTGATTTTTTCAAAATATTTTTGGCACTTTTCAGCAGCGGTGGCTGCAGCAGTGAAGGTTGAATATGCTGCTGCTGCTGCTGCTGCTGCTGCTCATTTGCCTTTTTCGGCCACACAGAAATTTTCTCTACCAACCGTTGCCGCAAGCGCGCGCATTCTCCACTGTGCGTGTATCCTTTTTCGCGCCCGACTTAACCGTTTTGAGCCTCAACATCAACTGAGTAACCGAATAGCCCTGCCTGAACAGCCCGAAAAGCTGCTGCCTGCTTTCCATTAAAAAGCATTGCTTGAGCCACACACACATAAACGAATACGTATGTACGTAGCCTACAAATTGTGCGACTAATCTCTAAAGAGAGTATTCCGATATTACTCTCAATCCGGTACAATTGGGCATTAATTAGTCGCAACTAGTCTCATACGGGTACTAATGGAGATCAATTAGTCTCGACACATCTCTAATGGCACGTAGAGAGAGTATCTGAGCATCTTGGTTCGAATCGCTGCTGGGGTAAATTTTTATTTTTATTTTTTTTAAGAGTGATTAGTCGCGTTTTGTACCCGTTCGGGTATAAAGGGGAACCATTAGTCTCTTCATAGGACATGCTCGAACAAAAGCGAACTGTTCATCCATACAAAGATATCAAAAGTGGTACTAGTCGCATGCTCCTTTGCGATTGCTCCCTGAGTCATCCCGGATTAGTCGCATTTTTTGCAGGGTATGGATATACATACATATCCCCAATGTACGTACATACATACATACATACATGCACGCCTATCATATGAAAGTGCTCTGGTGTACGCACTGCTATCGTCCAGTGTGC